TGCCACCCATATGCAAGATATTATGAGACTCATTTATTAAAGTAATGCAGCCTAGACCATGTCAAAAATCTAGGACGGGGTAACCCTACCCCCCTCATAGGGGTGTTTTGGTTCTTTTACTTGGTATGTGCTTTTACAATGAGACTGTACAAGATGGTTCATATCAGTATGAGTTTGAGAACAGAGTTCAGTGGGGATTGTGGTTCTTCAGTTATGTTTTATCTACTGTGAATTGGGCCAAAGTGCCGTCCGTTTTGATCGATGGTTTTTCTTTTCTTTTGCTAGGTAGTTTACCATCATAGCTTTGGAAAGACCCGATATTCCCCAAGTTGTGTGGATTCGCTTTGGCAAGCTTTACAAAGCTCAAGACCTTGTTGGTGGCCAGCCTGTGTTAGTCTCATTTACGCCAGTTATTACTCGACGAAGAAGGAACAGACAGTCAGCCACACTGGTACAAAGCATTCAGCAAACACCTACCCATTCTCACTCAAGCAATTCACCAGCATCTAACTCATCCAGGCCAGCAATGGCACAGAACACAGAAGAATTTGCTACCATGATGGCAACTTTCCAAAGAACCATGGATATCGTGAACCAAAGGATGGCTGCATAAGATAAAATTATTGTTGATTTGTGATGCACATCTGGGGCATCCGCATCAACTGTACATCCAATCTTGTCTGCTTAGCTGAACCCTGATCCACCTCCTCTAGTGGGAAATCCCTAGGTCCCAGATCCTCAGAAGAAATTTCCACCAGCTCTGACTTACAGGCCTTTAGCGCAACCCCATGCAGGAATCCTTTCCTTTGATATCAATGAAATTGATCTGGCCTTGATCAAGATTGCTAGGTTAGAGAAAGTGCTAAAAAAGACCCAAGGCTTTAATTCCATTTTGGATATTGAAAACGGGTACACTAAGGCTTCGGTCAGATTACTAGAGAAGTTCAAAATGCTCCATATCGACAAATTTGATGGAAATGGGGATCTGATTGTGCACATTTGCCTATTTTCAGATGTGCTAAGACCAATAGGCCTGTCTCGAGCTCAAAACCTATTATTGTTCTGGAGAACTCTATCTAATGTAGCGGCTATCTGGTACGTTAAGCTGGAGGATTCTATGAAGCAGAATTGAGAGGAGCTATTTGAGGCGTTTGTTAACCAATACTCATATAACACTCAAATAGAAGTAACTATCAGTGAGCTGGAGGCAACTATCCAGAACCCCAAAGAACCATTCATTGCCTTTGTTGCTAGATGGAGGGCAAAAGTAGCGAGAATGACAAATAGGCCATCTGAAGGAGAGCAAGTCTGACTGGTGGTCTAGAACCTTGAGCCTGATATGTTGCAGAGAATGATAGTGGCACCATTATCCACATTTGCTACCTTACACGAGTTAGCGGTCCAGATTGAGAGTGCCTTTAAGAAGGGCATTATCTATAGAACCAGTGAACCTGCAAGCCTAAGGAGGGGTGGCTAACCCCTCCAATTTCAAGACCTCAAATCATGTTTTTGGGCCTCAATTCAACTTTGAAAATCAATATATAAAGGTAAGAAAAATAGAGGAAAACGGTATAAGAAGGTGAAAGAAGAAAATGCAAAAATATACCTTTGAAAAAGAGGTAAGCTCTTAGTTAACAAACTTGATTCCAACACCCTCAAGTATGAGTTATGGTTCACAAATCTCGATTAATTTCCAAGTCCAAGCTCTATGTTGATATGGCATGAATGGATGATATAAAGATCATGAAAGTAGGAAGATGACTTACAAAAGAAGGATTACGCTTATATAATTTAGTATCTCTAAACCTTGATATTTATCAACCTTTTAACCTTTCCAACCTCTCAACTCAGTCCAACAGCTTCGTATTTATAGAGAATGAGCTGCAGGTCAAAATATCTGCAGAAATAGATAGCTGGTAGATATTTACATAATCTGCTTGGAAAAGTCAAGAGGCCCGGCCTGGCATTGATACCCACGGCCAACCATCACTGAGGCACGGCCGGGCCTCAGTGTATGTCCACTATTCTTCACTCTCAGGTTCAATGCAGGTTGGTACAATGTTCAAAATTGAGTTTCTGGGGTAGAAATACAGTAGATATGACAAGTTGGGATTGTTTAGACCTCAAAATCGGATTTCTTTGTTGAGAATTCAAACCATTTACACAATTTAACCTTCATCATCGAGTGTTCAGAATCAAGCGCCTAAGTCTTACGAGTGGTCAAAATTGGAGTGTCTACAGTTTCCCCTCTTTGATAGTGCTCGAAGTCATGAAGTGACGTGAGTGAATGTCAATGCCCAAAGATGACCCATTTTGACGGGGCCGTAAGACTTGGGCAAACAAACAAAATGCAAATACAGTTGATTGAACCTAAGGGTTGCCTACGTATACAAGGATTCAAACCTTCATAGTTTAGGCGTAAAAATGCAAAATGATATGCAAAACATAACTTATGATCATGCAATGAAACAATCAAAATAACAATGTAACAAGAATTCAAATGATATACAATGTAAGCAATCTAAGCCACAACTAGTGGAAAACACATGAATACCATAAAGGAATGGGGGATGCAAATCAAACTACGTTTTATATAGAGAATAAGTGGTGGCACGAGCCAAATGATGCCTAACATAGGTTAAGTGCCTACATCCTCAATACTGGCCTTAGCGCAGCATGGATGCTTACACATAACAGAACCATGTTTTAACGTGAGAGGGGGTGAGAGCACCTGCAAAACTATGTGTTTCATAGAAAGAGAAAGAGTACAAGTAATTGGGTGGTATGATATAAGTGAGAAATGTTCTGCTAAGGAAAGATAATGATCTTAGATGCTGAATGCAACAAAACAAAGGACGATGCCATGGATATAATGGATGAAGTGAAAGGCGTAAGTCTAACACAGAAAAGGTGCCGAAATCCTCAGACCACAATTCTTGCAGAATGAGCGCGTACACATGCAGAGCTATATTTTAACGTGAAAAGTATGAGCACATGCCAAACTAAGTTTAACACGGAAAGGATGCAGGCGATGAAATGGATGATGATGTAATGGATAATGCAGTAGATGCATGCGAGAGATGTTATATGAAATGCTATAGAGGTAATAGATAATACTAGATAATAATGGGTATGATGTGGCAGCTGGGAAGTGAATGTACCTTACAGAGGCAATTGGTGATGACTCACCTCATGCTGCTAGGGATCTTTCTCTTCTTCTTTATCGTGCGCTTCGAAACCATAGGTATTACTTTTTTTTTAATTTTATATATATATATATATAACTTTTCCCATTCTCAAACAGGGTGACAGACTAGGTTGGTTCAGTATCCAGAGTTGAGGCGCATACAAGCTACCTCGACCTATGGGACTGCCATACAGACTTCAAGCCGAGGATGCACCCCTGAGTATTTAAACCATGCTTTAGTCTCGGAAATCCCAAACCTTTGCGTTCTAGGCATCGTCATTCGAACTCTAGTTTCCATCGTCTCCATTGATCTCCTAGGAACTTAGACAGTTGGGTTATACTAGACCGCCTGAAGTCGTTCGGGCACGGCAAACACTAAAGGAATTGCACCTTTAGAGGATTTAAGGTCTCCTAGACCTCGGGAGTGCACAAGATAGTGCGGGGGATTTGAGATGGTATGGTAGATGCTTGAAGTAAAATCATTGTGCGATAGATGCACAGAATGAAAGGAGGAAAGATGATGTGAATACCAGGCGCACCTAATGTTTGTAACTGAGTAAATCAACAACCTAACACGTCTCATGCAAAAGGAGAAGGGATGGTGTGAACAGACTGGTACACCTGCTATTTTTAACCAATTTTCAATCCTAACGCATCGCATGCGAGAGGAGGGGGAGGGGTGGTGTGAACAGACAGGTGCACCTACTGTTTTTAACTGATTTTCAATTTTAACGTGTCGTACGTGAGAGGAGGAGGGGTGGTATGAACAGACAGGTGCACCTACTATTTTTAACCGATTTTCAATCCTAACGCATCGCATGCAAGAGGAGGAGGGGTGGTGTGAACAGACAGGCGCACCTGCTGTTTTTAACTGATTTGAAATCCAAACACGTCGCACGCGAGAGGGTAATGAATGAATCCAAACGTGTCTCATGTGAGAGGATAAATTGCTGACAAGGGGTAACCTCTATATGTAGAAGCCACGGATGCCGTTTTTCTTCCTGATCATATTCACAACTTTCCCTATTCTCTAACGGGGTGATAGACTAGGTTGGTTCAGTATCCAGAATTGAGGCGTATACAAGTTACCTCAACCTATGGGGCTGTCATACAAATTTCGAGTCGAGGACGTACCCTTGGGTATTTAAACCAAACTTTAGTCACAAAAATTCCAAACCTTTGCGTTCTAGGCATCGCCATTCGAACTCTAATTTCCATCGTCGCAGTTGGTCTCCTAGGAACTCATTGCATACATAGCCAGGATACTAGACACAGATATTTACATATGGTATACACATGTTCATATACAAACAAAATACATACAAATATGTACATACGGTATACATATATACATAGACAAACAAAATACATATAGATATATACGGATATATACATAGATATATGCAGATATATACACAGATGTATACGAAAAACACGTAAAAAGAAAGGAAAGACACAAAATGCATGGATGTGGGGATATGGGGTTTCGAACCCCTGACCTCAGGCTTGGCCTCCGAGTCCTCAACCACTGAGCCATGCCACTATTGTGACAAAATATGCAAACAAATATGTATATAATACATAAATATACAATACATATACATATATGTATACAACTCTCATGCCTCTCTCTCTTCCGTCGAAAATCGCATCTGATATGCGGCCTCGCCTTTTTGCGTCAGCCGGCTAACAATTGCCTCGGCTCTCTCTCTTTCTTTGTCTTTCTCTTTCGTCTTCTTCTCCACCACTCTCCTTCTTCTCTATCACTCTCCTTCTTCTTTTTCTCTTCTGTCTTCTCCTTTATCACTCTCAGCTGTCTCTTTCTTCTCTTTCGTCTTCTTCTTCATTACTCCTTGAGAGAGACAGAGTAGAGAGAGACAGAACTCAGTCTGCTCGCTGCCATTTCTCTGCGATTCCTTTCTCTCACACCTCTCTCTTCTCACAAATGACTTCGTCCCGTCCCCTTACTCTTTTTCCAAACCTTAATGATCGCATGAGTTCTCTTGGACAGAGTGCCCCTGCTCCTACTTATCTTAACCTTTCTACACCGACAATTGAGCAGATAATGGCTGCTCAAACTGAGATTGAAGCTAACCACTACACGTTGAAGTCGTGCATGGAGACAGTGGCCGCGGTCATTAACTTGTCTCATCGGCTGCAAAATAGGACCTGCAAGGTACATCGGGTCAACGCCCAACTCTCTGCTCCAGCGTATGTACAAGGATGCGCGAGCAGAGATTTGCGCATTGTAGGTGGAGAATAAATAGTTGAAACGGAAATCTACCGTCATGGCCCGATTTGGAGCACCTTCGTACTTTGCTTTTGATGATCAGCAGCGGGTAACTCTCTCAGCGGTCCTGTAAGTACTGAGGCAGGGCCTTCAAGGGTTTCCTCAAACAAAACAAGGAGGAAGAAATTGGCAGGAGAGCCGAGCAAGTGAGGTTGGCGTGTGGCCGTCATCGGAGGTCGGCATGTGGCCATTGCCGTAGAAAAAAAGAAAGAACAAGATCCCTCTCTCTCTCTCTCTCTCTCTCTCTCTTTTTCATTATTATTTGTTTGTCTGTATGTCTGTTTTTTATTTTATTTTTTATATTTTATTTTATTTTTGATTGATTTTTTGTATATATGCTTGTACAAATTTGATCAGGGTTAATCCTTGATATGAATAAAACAAGTTTTTTTGTTTGGTTTTGAAATTCGAATGACAAATTCAAATGATATGAATTTTAAGAATAAATTTTGGATTGAGATCGAGCCTCTCCCATGAAATGACAACACTCGATGAAATGGACACAAAACAGACAAAACTCGATAGAATGGACACAAAACAGAGGAACACCAGTTGATCACCTGGTCAATCGCTCATCGGAAAAGCATCACCGGTGATAATTACTGTGCATTTTCCGGTGATCAAATATTCGATAATACGGGCATAGGACGGAATACCAACATACGAATTATCGGAACACAAAACAACCAAAAATAAAACAAAGTTTTTTTTTTATATATATTTTCTTTTTTTTCTTTTCTTTTTCTCAAAAACACATTTTTGTTTTTATTCCTTCTTTTCTTAAAACAATTTTTTTTTTGTTTAATATTCTCTCACAAACATTCTTTTTCTTTCAAAAGCATTTTTCTTTTGAACACTCTTCTTTTCTTTATTTATTCTCTCAAAAATAAACAAACAAAAAAAAAATTATTTTATTTTCTTTTATTTCACAAACACACATTTTTTTTAATTTTTTTTTTTAGTTTTTAAACACCCCATTTTTTCTTTTGAAAACTCTTTTTTATCTATATTTTTTATTTCACAAACACACATTTTTATTTTTATTTTTATTTTTTTGCAAAAACACACATATTTATTATTATTTTTATTTTCCTCACAAACGCATTTTTTAAAAACACATTCTTTAAATTCTCTTCTCCTTTTGGCTTTCACTCAAAAATATGTTTGTTTGTGTTTTTTTTTTTTTTTTTTTGAAAACATTTCTAAAACATTATATTTTTTTAAATAATAAGAACAAAAAAAACATTATACCTAAAATCAATCAAATAAATACAGAAAAGAAACAAAATAGAAAAGAAAAGAAAAAGAAATTAGAAAGAATTTCATCGCGGCCCCGCCGGGCCTTGGTCATGTACGGCCGGGGATCGAAACTGCTAGCCGGCCTTCGATGGTGGCAGGGGCAGTTTCGCCCTTTCCCTGCCATTTGCTTGGTTAAAACAAAATCAAACCCTCATTTTCACTCATCCTCTCATCCGAAAAAACACCATCTCTCTCTCTCTAGATACCTTCTTTCTTGAGTTTACCCAACAATCCTTGCAAATTTTTTTCTTAAAACCCTTGTAATCCTCTATATTTTGAGCCGAACAAAATTTGATTTGGTTGAGTTTTGGGTTTTCTCTTTGATTTCCCTCATATTTGTCCACGCTTTCCTTCCTCTTCCTTTGATTGTCACCTCCCTCTTGGCTTTCTCTCTCCTAGGGTTAGGATTTGGGGATTTTCACTCATTTTACTCATCCTCTCATTTTTTTTTCACTTTTTCTCTTTCCTTTCCCCTTTGATTTCTACCACCTTCTTGATTTTCTCTCTCCTAGGGTTTGAGATTTTGAGATTTCACCTATTTTCACTCATCCTCTCATTTTTTCTCATTTTTTTAATTTTTTTTTATTTTTAGTTTTCTCCTCATTTCCTTTACTTCCCTTACTTTTCTTGTTATGGCTAGTGATGAGATTCCCGTACTTGACCCTGCCATAGGCATTAGGGCTGCCCTAGGTGCGGACATGGAGGCGGAGGAAGCCACTGCATTGCTTCCCCTTGTTTAGAGGCCTTTTGATGCGGCTACATATCAGCCGCAGACACACGTGCCACCTTCTGGCGGTATTTTGAGGTTCGAGGCATTCATCTAAGGGATGGACGAGGACATCCTGCTGCAAGAGCCTATGGAGCATCTGTCTGCTGATGCCTCTACGGTAAGCCATTTTCCTTTGTTTTTGACTTCTTTGAATTTCACTTGAACTTGAATTTCATAAGCTAAGACCATATTCCCCGTTGACAGGTGGTAGCTAGGAAGATTAGTGGCTACGGATCTCTGGTCCTATACGCTGGTACGTGAGGCTTCTGGTAGTGGTTCGCACAGCAGTTGACGCAGCTGGCTTTGGGCCCTTCTGCTTGGAGCTTATTCAGATGAGGGCAGAGTCGTGGCTCTATGGGGCCCTGGTGGAGAGATGGTGGGATACCACCAATTCATTCCATTTCTCTTTGACCAAGGAGATGATGCTGATTCCGTATGACTTCTTGATGCTAACCAGTTTGAGGGTTGGGGTCTGTGGCCCAGTCCCTTTCGATCCAGACATAACCCAGTGGAGAGATACGCAACTCCAGCTTCTCGGGGCGATCCCAGATGCCACTAGGCACCGGATGGTGCGCTATAGCTAGTTCTCGAAGCGTTTTTCCGACATTCAGCCCACTATTGCAGAGGAGGTTACTCAGTATACCCGCAGCTTTCTCATGTATCTCTTCGGTACCACCCTGTTTGTTAACAGGGAAAATATCGTAGGGCTATATCTTTTGGGGGCACTGGTGCACCTCCCCCGAGTAGCAGATTATGATTGGGGTGGCGCCGGCCTGGCCACACTATATTGCTATATGCGCTCCGTCTCCCGCCGTAAGGTAGATTCACTCGGCGGCTACTGGAGGGTTTGGGGGGTATTCTTCATACTTATCTGTTCTGTTTCTTCATTTTTTGTTCATTTACATTTCATTTTCTTCTTATCTACTTCATCCGGCTTTATATGTAACTCTGGGTGTATACCTATTTCACTTCCCTGGCCCCAGTCCCAGTGAGGCCTATCGAGTTGTCAGTACCCCGCTCTCGGTACTACAACTCGCGGTTTAAGCATCGCCGCCTCGTAGACCGTACCTTCCCATACTTCCACCTCTTCTTTGATACGATCACCGCAGATCAGGTAACAAAACATCACACCCTAATTGTTCACATACTGTATGTATACTGTATTGTTTCCCATATGACATGGTCATTCTCAAACTGTTGTATCTGTAGCATATTGCCTTTCTCATACTGTACTGACTTCTAATATTGCATTGATCACATTACATTGATTGCTTTTTGTCAGATTGATTGGCACCCGTGGGCGGGCATTCCCCAAGCCTTGTGGATGACCTACACTATTACGTGGCATGCCTCCACCATGGGGATTTTATTTGAGGGCCCTTTCATCCGGGCTTACTATTTGGGGGAGAAGTTTATCCACCAGACACGAGGCGTTGCTGATCCTGATGTTCCATTTCCTCCTCTACCGATTATGAGGGTAGTGGATGAGCTGCAGGATGGTCCTCAAATCGACCTCTTGATGTCGGGCGAGGATGGTGACCGACATCGTATGCCTGGCAACTTCGCTGTGTTTTTACACTCCTAGGTGATGGCGCTTCTGACCCAAGGCATAGACCGTGCTGTTCCGGAGATTGCTATTGCTGTTGTTGTTAGTGGTGATGTCCCTACTGGGGGTGTCCCTGCTATTGGTTCTCTCCCTGGGTTCTCGACGAATCCCACTGTGATTACTTTCATGCGTCTAGATGGAGTGATCCGGTAGATTGCCCTTGATCATATTGAGGAGGAGGACCGTAGTATAGTATTTGCTCCTGGCATCGAGCAGGTATACACTCTTTTATACTTCTACTCACTGTACTTTTCTATTAATTTCCATGCATTGTTCTATGTTGCTTCTCATCTTATCCCTTTTACAGATATCCTGGGTAGTTGGTGACGAGCTCGCTCGGATGATTGACTGGCTACTTCTCATGGTACGGAGGAGAGAGACCGCCCTGGTCACCCATGGGATTGAGGTACATTTTTTTTTGCAGTTTTGTTATTGTCATATTGTAAACTTTTGTTAATGCATATTGATATCTGTCCTCTTTTCAGCTTGAGCCAGCAGTGCCTACGGGACCTTCCACAGCTAGTAGGCGAGAACGAGGCCGAGAAAGGGGCCACAGAGGAGTTGATCGGGGAAGAGGTTGGGTGAGGCAGCGCCCACCTTCCGAGGAGTCAATGAAGGAGTATACAACCTCCAAGGGTGAGGGAGAGGAGGTCGACTTGCAGTTGAGAAGCCCGAGTGATGATAGCGATGTGCCCCCTCCACAACCGAGGAGGAAGAGGGTGAGGATGGGATATTGATGCTGACACTGTTTTGCGTTTCTTCTTTTTTTTTTTTTTTTTTGTTTCTGTTTTTGTTTTTGTTTTGTTTTGTTTGGTTTTTGTTTTTTTTTGTTTTTGTTTTTGTAGTTTAAACACTAGCTTCAGATAGACCCTTTATTTTTGAAGACTTTTCTTTTATTTGTTTGTTTGTTTGTTTGTTTGTTTTTTTTCTTTGTAAAACAATGACCGGGGTTGGTCCCGTTAGTTATAAAAATAAGTTTTTGTGAAATGATTTCCTTGCACAATATGATGACTGGCATTTGCATATGATGAGCGTTGTAACCCTTGCATTGCAACCCTTAGATCTGTGAATGCTTTGTTCTTGAATTGAATCATGAATCGGATAATGACTTATAACCGGTCAAAATGTAAAATATAACTTGATAATAGAAAAACGAAATGAAAACAACTTGAAAAAGCTAAAACACACTTGATATAAACAAAATAAGACTCAAAAGTACAAACGTGGTCCACCTGAACGAAGGCCGACTTCTGTTGCAACTGACCAACACCAAGGCCCAGCCGAGCTTCATTGATCCCC